CTGAACAAACAGACAGTTAAAATCAAATACCCCATACCGCGCATAGACGACCTACTGGACCAACTGCGTGGTGCAACAGTCTTTTCGAAGTTGGACCTTCGGTCGGGTTACTGGCAGATCAAGATGGCGGACAACTCCGTCCACAAGACGACGTTCCGTACCAGATACGGCTCCTACGAATACTTGGTGATGCCGTTCGGACTCTGCAACGCACCAGCAACGTTTCAGGCGGAGATGAATCACATCTTACGACCCTTGCTGGACGAGTACGTGGTGGTGTACCTGGACGACATTCTCATCTACTCCAAGAACATGAAGGAGCACGTGGAGCATCTGCGGAAGGTGTTCAAGATCCTGCGGAAAAAACAAGTTCTACGTGAAGCTGTCTTAGAGCGACTTCGCCCTAAAAAGGTGCAGTTTCTCGGGCACACGGTGAGTGCCGAGGGCGTACACATGGACCCGCGGAAGATCGAAGCCGTCAAGAAGTGGAAAGTACCGGAGAACGTGAAGGAGTTGCAGCAGTTCCTAGGATTCGCCATCTACTACAACAGGTTCGTGCCGCAGTACGCTAAGATAGCAGCGCCACTGACCGACCTACTGAAAAGGATACGCCCTACAAATGGGATACCCCTCATCAGCAAGCCATGGAGCAGCTACAGACAGCACTGACTACAGCGCCAGTACTCATCTTGCCGGATCCAGACAAGGACTACGTGGTGGAAGCAGACGCTAGTGACCAAGCAGTCGGAGCAGTACTGATGCAGGATCACGGACATGGTTTGCAGCCCATTGCCTACCTCAGTAAGAAGCTACACGGAGCAGAACTGAACTACCCCATCCATGACAAGGAAGCCTTAGCGATAGTCATAGCCTTCAAGGCGTGGAGGTGTTACCTAGAGGGAGCCAAGACTACAGTATATAGTGACCACTGCAGTCTCAAATACCTGAAGTCGCAGCCGACGCTCTCACGACGACAGTGCGGGTGGGTGGACTTCCTGGAAACTTACTACGACATCGTATACAAGCCCGGGCTACACAACAAAGCAGACGCATTGAGCCGCCCGGACATGTAGTAGGCATCCAGCTCGACGGGATGAACCCTCTGCTCAAGGGTCTATTCCAACATGGGTACTCCGTGGATGCAGAAATCACTACAGCACAGACCAAGAAGGTGTTACAGTGGGAGAAAGACTTAGCGGTAAGGAAGGGTTTAGGAAAGATTTGGGTACCAAATTACGCCCCGCTACGGCAGATCCTATTGGAGGAGTTTCACGACGTACCATACGCGGGACATTTCGGGAGCAACAAGACGTTAGCAGGGATAGCAAAGTATTACTACTGGCCCGGGACGGGCAGCAGACGTGCAGCAGTTCGTCACCTCTTGCGACACGTGTCAGCGGATGAAGAGTAGCAAGCAGAAAAAAGCAGGGTTACTTCAGCCTCTACCCGTACCGGAGCAGCCATGGCAGGTTGTTAGCCTCGACTTTATCACAGGACTTCTTCGACCTCACGGGGGCACGATTCCATCCTCATAGTCATCGATAGTTCTCCAAAATGGGTCACTTCATACCGACCAACGCCACAGCTACAGCTGAAGCAAATGCTCGCCTCTTCCTCGACCGCATCATCACCATCCACGGCATCCCCGCTACACTCATCTCAGACAGAGACCCAAAATTCACCAGTAAGTTTTGGAAGGAGCTCATGGGACTGTTGGGGACAAAGCTTGCAATGTCTTCAGCATACCACCCCCAGACTGACGGACAGACAGAGCGACTCAATCAAGTGGTTGAGCAGTTACTGCGCACAGCTTGCAAGGACGACGTCAGCCACTGGGACACACAGTTACCGACCCTAGAGTTCGCTTACAACAACACATCACATGCGGCCCCACAGGGAAAACTCCTTTCTTCCTGCGTTACGGACGGGAACCACTCACACACCACAGCACCCCACACCGGCACACGTCCAAGCCGCACATGACTTCGTCACCACCATGCAGCAGCTATGGGAGAAGACTCAGCGACGATTCACCACGATGCATACCTCCCAGAAGCATTATGCCGATCGTCAGCGACGTGATCACTCAGTAGCAGTCGGAGATCAGGTGCTTCTTGACACGCGCAACTTGAACCTGTCTCACCTCCCATCCAAACTCTGACCTCGCTTCTGTGGTCCTTTTCTCGTTGAGGCACAGGTGACACCAGTTACATTCCGCTTGCGCTTACCTACTACTTGGAAGCTTCACAATGCTTTCCATGTGCAGCTACTGAAACCCTACAAGGGACCCCAACCAACAGTTCCAGGGACGGCAGCTACCGCCACCTCCACCTGTTCTTTTGCAGGATGAACCCGAGTACGAGATTGAGCGCGTTCTCTCTCATCGGCGCCGCGGCGGCAAGACCCTCGAGTTCCTGATACGCTGGAAAGGATACGACCCCACTGAGGACAGCTGGGTTGCAGAAGCTGATATGGGCAACGCACGCCGTGCTCTCAATAACTATCTTGTCAAGCAGGGTGTATCTCACGCCACCCAGCTTTGAGGGGGGGACGTGTGAGAGTACGACGGCTTATGCCAGCTATGCTTGCTTGCCTTACTTTATTATGCTATTTCTAGCATAGGATAATTATATGCATGCATGAATTGCTTGATTTCCTAGGCTAGGTGCTTTCCTATATTTTATTATAGTTATAGCACCGAGCTAGGTTGCGTGCACCGAATTCTGGCTTTTCGGTTGCCACCGAATTGCCTTCTACCGAATTCGGTAAGGATCTGTTCGGGACGCTTTGCGACCCGCGGAACCTTCGCGTAACACCTGGTTACGGGGCCTTGTGTCGAGCCTATTTATAGCCTCGTGTTGTACCCAGGTGATCATTCAATTCAATTCAATTCAATTCACATTCTCTTTTCTGAGCTCGATCCTAGATCCCCACACGTACTGCTACAGGATTTTGGCAACGGGTTACAGCCCATTGCATAGGAGTCCCGCAAACTGCATCCGCCCGAGAAAAATTATCCGATACACGACCGCAAAATGCTCGCGATCGTACACGCATTCAAAGTGTGGCGCTGTTACCTGACCGGCGCAGAGACGTGACAGTACGGACAGATCACAAGTCACTACAGTACCTCCGCGCACAGCCAAACCTCAACCCACGACAGATTCGCTGACTCGATTTCCTCGAGTCCAATTTTCACTACTTGATCACCTACAAAAGAGGAGCCTCCAACATCGCCGACACACTGACCCGCCCCACTGCCCAAATTCATGCTATACTACTTGCCTCGACCAGCCCGCTACTGACAGGACTATTTACCCACAGATACCAAACAGACGTGTTCTTCACAGGAGGAAATTCGCAGCAGTTCGCAGCAACAAAGGGAGTCTATTACGTATAAGCCGGCACCGACCACATCTGGGTGCAAGGGTATACTTTGCTAAGGGAACTGTTATCATAGGAGGCACACGATGGCATTACCTTGGGCCATTTTGGGGTAGAAAAAACACGGCAGCAGCTGCAGCAGTATTACTATTGGCCCGAAATGTTGATCGACGTACAGCGTCACGTGGCGTCGTGCCCCACCTGCCAACTCATGAAATCATCACGGAAGCGGCCGGCAGGGCAGTTGCGGCCGATACCATCCCCAGAGCGTGCTTGGCAGCAGGTGAGGATGGACTTCGTCACGGGGTTACCGGCTGGGACAAGTGGGAACAATGCGATCCTGGTCGTCGTCGATCGGTTGACGAAAATGGCGCATTTTGCAGCATGCAAGAAATCCATCTTAGCCGAAGAAAAAAGCTCGGCTCTTCATCGCTACCATCGCTGTCATGACGATTTCATGAGGTGGCAGGTGGGGCACGATGCCACGCGTCGATGTACGTCGATCAGCATCTCGGGCCAGTAGTAATATCGCTGCAGCTGCTGCCGTGTTTTTTCTACTCCGAAATATCCTGAGGTAACTCCGTCATGTGCCTCCTGTAGCAGTAATTCCTGTTGTAATGTGTAGCCTGGTACCCAGATGCGATAGGTGCCGGCTTTTACGTAATAAACCCCTTTTTCTGCTGCGAACTCCTGCAAATTTCCTCTGGTAAAGAATGGGTCTGTCTGGTTGCCGTAGGTAAATAGGCCTGTAATTAGTGGGCTGGTCTGGGCGAGTAGTATGGCGTGTATTTGGGCAGTGGGGCGGGTCAGTGCGTCGGCGATGTTCGAGGCCCCTTTTTGTAGGTGACCGTATAGTGGAAGTTGGACTCGAGGAAGTCGAGCCAGCAGATATGTCGTGTTTGAGGTGGGGCTGTGCGCGGAGAAACTGTAGGGATTTGTGGTCTGTCCGTACTGTCACGTTGGCACTGGTCAAGTAACAACGCCAAACTTTGAATGAGTGCACAATCGCGAGCATTTCGCGGTCGTGTATCGGGTATTTTTTCTCGGGCGGATGCAGTTTTCGTGACTTGTATGCGATGGGCTATAATCTGCCGAAATCCTAGAGCAGTACGGCTCCGATGGCGATGTCGCTTGCGTCTGTAACGACTTTGAATGGGTGGTGTGGGTCGGCAATGTGCAGTACGGGCGGTGAACAAATAACATTTTAAGGGCAGAGAATGCAGCATGCTCTTTCCCCCCCACTTAAAAACGACCCCCTTCCGCGACAAATCTGTCAGTGGGCAATCAACCGTGCCATGTCAGGGACGAACTGACGCGCAAAATTAATGAACCCTAAAAAACTTTGCAACCCCCTTCTGCAACTACAGAAGTCAACTCCCTGTCGCTGTCTGAAGCCTCGTGCAACGTAATGCGCCTTGAAGACAGGCGGAGAACCCGGCGCCGCTTCACCCTGAAAATCCACATGCCACTAACGATGTTCGCCCCAGGAGGGGGAACCTCGTCAACGTAAGTGCATGTGGACTTCCAGGATGCCATCTCTGCGTCCATGGCTGAATGCCACTGCGAGGAGTAGGGACCCTCAATCGCCTCTGCGTAAGAGCGCGAGGTCGGGATGTCTAGTGCATCGGGTCTCCCTCAGGTGCAATCAGCATAGACACGAGATGAGGTACAGCAGCTGCAAAGCACTCAAAGTCCTCCTGCCTGTCCTCAAGGACGTCCGTGCTAAGAGCACACTCACCCCCGACGGACGGAGGACAGACAGACTCAGACTCAGCAACAAGACTAGCCGCGTAGTCTAGACGACATCGAGCAGCAAAGTCAACAAGCTCAGCAACTAAGGCAGATGTAGCAGTGGACTTAAAAGAAGGGTCAGTGACAATAGTGGCCAGGAGACACGTGATAGTAGGACTAGCAGCACGAAGGGAGTCAGACTCCGGGTCCGGACCACTAGCAAGGGAGGACGCAGGAGGAGACGGGAGAGGGACACGCAGTGGAACAGAGGAAGGACGAAATGCCATCTGGTGCATGCCAGGGAGAGGAGGAGGACGCGGACGCGAAACACGACGACCAGTGCAAGCAGCGCGAACTGACGACGAAGGACGAGACTCAGGCTCACGATGCTCCGCAAGACCTCCGGTGGGCCCAGTGTAAGGGAAGGACTAGGCAGTGGGGAGGCTGGCTGTAACTGCGACTGCGAGTGGACAGGCGGTGGACACAGTAAGGAGGAGTAGGATCAGTAGAAGGCAGGAGACCAAGAACCTGCTGAAGGAGTGGACCGTAGTACGGCCGCGGCCACGCAGCGCCACAAGAACCAGCAGAGACAGCACCAGTGCCCCCATCTCCAGGGTCTCTAGCTCCAACTTCTGCAGCGCCACTAGCTCCAGAACTAGCAGCAGTTCCAGCTCTAGCGGCACCTCCAGCAGGAATAGCCCCAGCGCCTCCAGCTCCAACTCCGGCAGCACCACCAGCTCGAGCACCTCCAGCAGCTCCAGCTCCAGCCGCACCCCCAGCAGTAACAGCTCCAGCGCCTCCAGCTCCAACTCCAACAGCACCACCAGCCCCAGCAGCTCCAGTACCTCCAGAACGAGCACCTTCGGGACCAGCGGCTCCAGTACCTCCAGCAGCTCCAGCAGCAGTAGGACTCCCAGCTCCAGCAGCACCTCCAGCGGTAGGCCGCCCAACCCCAGCAACATGGCTCCAGCGCCGAGCAAACCACTCGCGCAGCTGCGGTTGGGAGAGTGGCACCCGTCGGGACAAGACACCCGTAGGACCTCCAGAGGACGAAGTACCTCCAGGCTCAGCACGCTCACGCTCAGTACCCCTAGGCTCTTCACGCTCAGGCTCACCACCCCCAGGCTCCACACCCTCAGACTCAGCAACCCAAGGCTCAGCACCCCCAGGCTCCGCACCCTCAAAATCAGCAACCCCAGGCTCAGCACCTCAAGCTCTGCACGCTCAGGCTCAGCACCCCTAGGCCCCGTACCCGCAGGCTCAGCACCCCCAGCAGCACCAGAGTCGACAGCTACCTCGACAGGCTCGACAGGGTCTACCTGGGACACACCTGAGGGGGCAGGACCCTGAGGGGGAGGGGGTCTACCGAAGGAGGACCTGGTGCTAGGAAGAGCGGTGAGGGGGGGGGGGGAGAGGGGCAGTGCGTAGGGGAAGAGACGGTAGTAAGGAACCGACTCGTCAAACGTGATGTCATGAGAGGACAGAAAACGGCGCGAGGTGGGGTGGTAAAACTGCCAGCCAAGCGCGTCAGGGGGGAAGCCAAGGAAGACGCAGGGAACAAACACGAGGACAGCTTGTTCGCGAAGAATCGCGGACAAAAGCTCAAGATCCCCGGACACGGAACACAGACGCATCGCCAACCTTCCCCGTCCACCGCAGAGCAGATCAGCCCAGCGAGGGAGCTCAATGGTGTCAAGAAACTGTGCATGCCAAGCGTCAGACAGGCGACTGAAATAGCGTTGCGTTGCATGGGGCAGCCTGCACGTCTCCCCACGATGCTCGCCGGTGCGGAGAACGTAAGCACAGGGACCAGCACCCCCAGACCTCCCACGCCTAGCGTACCACTCACGAAGCTGCTGGGGCGACGGGGCCTTACGGGAACGTGGCTGCTGCTGACGCTGGCTACTACCAAAGCCTCCACGCTGCACGGCTCCACCCCGACCAGCACCACCGCCGCCGCCACCCCCCCAGTGCCGCCGCCGCTGCCGGCCCCACCTCCACCCCCCGCCAGCGACGCCCCCACTCCCGCCACCACCCCCACCTCCACCCCCACCCCCTGCGCCTCCTCCACCGCCACCACCGCGCCCCCGCCGTCCCCTCCACCACCCTTGCCCCCCTTGCCCCTTGCCGCTGCGGCGCCTCCCACTAGGACCAGACGCAGCCCCGACCTCCTCGGTGCCAACGAGGTCAACAGCAGTAGCAGAAGCAACAGAGGGCAACAAGGGGATGGGGGAGCACCCCTCAAAGAAAGGGGCGCGAGGGTCGCCGCAAGAAGCTTCTACAACGACTATGCTAGTCTCAGCTGCAGTGAGGCGCTCTTTGAGCAGGTCGACGGTGAGTTAGGTGAGGCAAAGGGAGAGAAAGTGGTCCCTGACTGAGCGAAGAGAGTCAGGGAGACGGGTGACTAGGTAGAAGAGGGTGATGTACATGGGGGGGGGGGGGGTTCTTGGCGCGGAACTCGGGGGGGAAGTGCAGCGCGGTAGCGGGTGTCACTAGTGCGGAGGTGAGTGATAAGGTCAGCGACTGTGGCAAAAGCGGCCAGGTCAGGGAACAAGTATGGCAGCATGAGGCGGCTGAGGGTAGCAGTGGAGGGGAGGAGTAGTGAGCGACGACAGCGTCATACAAGGACTTAGTGGTCTTGTACTGGCCAAAGTGCGCGCGCTCAGCAGACGGCAGGTGACTACGAACAGCAAGGCGAGCATCAGCGTCACGAGTAGTCCACTGCGAGCGAACCGTACTGGCAGCATCAGTAGCAGGTGCAACAGAGGCGCCGGACGTGTGATCGAAAAGCGAGACTCCGTCCCTAGAGTCGCACTGAAGATAGAGCTGCAGGTCATCTACCCAAACGTTGAAATCGACTGCACAACCCTTAGCATCGAAGGTAAGAAGAGTAGGGCTAGCCATGGCGGCAGTAGCTGCAGCAGTAGCAGTAGGGCAGGGCGGCACGGCTCGGCGCGGCGGCGCGGCTCGGCAGGGCGGCGCGGTTCGGCTGGGCGGCGCGGTTTGACTGGGCGGCGCGGCTCGGCTAGGCAGGCGGACGGAGCGGCGCGCTTAGCAGGCGGGCGCTTACCAGGGCGGGTGCAGGGCAGGGCCGCGACTAGCGGGTAGGTCAGAGCCGCAGCGGGGCGGCTATAGGGCAGGGCCGCGACGAGGCGGCGGCAGAGCAGGGCCGCGACGGGCGGCAGTAGGCAGGGGCCGCGACAGGGCGCCTGCAGGGTAGGGCCGCGACGGGGCGGGGGTAGAGCAGGGCCGCGACAAGGCGGCTGCAGGGCAGAGCCGCGAAGGGGCGGCGGTAGACCAGGGCCGCGACGAGCGGCTGAGGGGCAGGGCCGCAACGAGTGGCGGCAGGGCAGGGCCGCAACGGGCAGCGAGGTAAGGCCGCGGCGGGCGGCTAGGAGAGGCCGCAATGGGCGGCGACAGGGTAGGGCCGCGACGGGCAGCTAGGTCAGGGCCACGACGGGCCGTTAGGGCAGGGCCGCAACGGGCCGAGAGGGCAGGGCCGCTACGGGCGGCAGTAGAGCAGGGCGCGCGACGGCGCAGGTAAGGCAGGCGCGAGGCGCGCTTCGGGCAAGGCAGGAAAAAAAAAATCGTGGTGGGCCCTAAAAAAAAACGTTCCCACTAGGGAACCTGCTCTGAAAACATGTCAGAAAGTACGAACGAGAATGACTAGAACAACAGCAGTACAGAGTTTGTTTAGCAAAACCTAATTGGGTTGTACCCCATAAGGAGTGCCCCACTACAGCATAGAGCATATGAATGCATAGTTCTGACAGGCGTGGACATGGTGTCAGAATATTATCTTATTGTTCTAGCCTGTAGTGGGGTGCTCTATAGCGAGTACAACCCTTCTAGGGTTTGCTATTTGTATCCTCATTCTTGCTAGTTCAATCCTCTTTCTTCTTCTAAATTTTGACATGCTATCAGAGCAGGTCGATCCCCTTGGATCGATCCTGTGGGTGGGCTCACCACCTCGTTGCTTCCGCTGCAACTGCTACTGCTACTCTCTATGCCGCACGCCCCGTGGCGTGCGGCAGTTTTTTCTTCCCGCCACGTGCTCGGGGCGCATGGCGGTTTTCTGCCCACCGCGCGCTCAGTGCGTGCGGCGGTTTTCTGCCCACCGTGCGCCCCGAGGCGCGCGGCGGTTTCCTCCTGCTTCGCGCGGCGGTATTCTGCACGCCATGCGCTCAGGACGCGTGGCGGTTTTCTGCCCACCGCGCACCCTGGGCGCACGCGGCGGTTTCGCGTTCCGTCGACCCGCACGCCCGTCCCCGTCGACCTGCGTACGGCTCCTCGTCGCCCTTCGCGGCGTCCCCGTCAACCCGCGCGAGGCTCCCTGTCGCCCTTAGTGGCGGCCCCGTCGACCCGCGCGCCGCCTCCGGCGACCGGTGTGCCCATCCCCGTCGACCCGCGTGTCGCCCTGCGGCCCCCCCCCCCCCCTCCCCGCACACCTGCGTTTGCTTACCGCACACCCGAGTTCGCTTCCCGCACACCCCGATTTTGCTTCCCGCACGCTTGTGCATGCTTCGCGCACAACCTGAGCTCGCCTACCGCACACTCAGGGTTATGGGGGTGACGGGTATGGGGGTGGCGGGTGTGCGCGGTCCCCTGCTCCTCCTCCTCCTCCGTCTCCCACTGCTGCAGCTGCCGCTGAGGGGGTGGGTGTGTGGGAGACGAAGGAGTGGTGCTAGGGGGGTGTGTGGGAGTAGAGCTAGTGGTGTAGCAGTGGGTGTGTATGAGGGGGGTGGGACTGTGTGCGGGAGGATGAGTGGAGGTTGCCAGTTTGTCGTCAGCAACACCTGTATTCCGGGGGGCTTCGCCCGGTAGCCCAGTCGTAGCCAGCTGTGCCAGCCGCCCGTGGGTCCGTTGCTCGTCTGCCGCTACTTTAGCCGCGGGGCCAGTTACTCCAGTAGTCCGGGGGCGTCGCCCGGATAGCCGCTGTGCCAGTGTGCCTCCTGTTGCCGCGTGTGTCTGCAGCTTCAGCTGTCGCCTCCCAACTCCTCTCGCTCTCACTCCTCCTCCTCACTTGCCCGTTGTGACCACCACTAGTTTTGCTTATAATTGTGAACTATGAACTATTTCTTCTTGAACTTGTGGCTCAGAATGTGTGGTGACATTGTGATCCACCCTGAGCTTGTTTTGTTTTGCCTGCACTGCTGATTACACCCCACTTTGGCTATGGGGGTGTGTCAGAATATTATCTTATTGTTCTAGCCTGTAGTGGGGTGCTCTATAGCGAGTACAACCCTTCTAGGGTTTGCTATTTGTATCCTCATTCTTGCTAGTTCAATTCCTCTTTCTTTCTTCAAATTTTGACACATGGATCGTTGATGAGTCAGGCGGGCTCATAGAGTGGGGTAGATCGACCCAGTTAACACTGTTTCGCACGGTGCAGTTGCCTGTTGTCCAATCAATTCGCGGGTTGTAGCATCGCAGCCAATCACCACCCCAGTACTATGGTCGTGGCTCATCCAATGTCATCGCCAGCATTTCCTGTGTAAACCCGAAGTCCCCCCCGCAGCGAACTTTTACTCTCTCCACTTTTTCCCGTATGGCCAGAGGCGTGGCATCAATAAGCGTGTGTTGATCTCCAGTAAGCAACGACTGAGTGTTATTTGCAGTATTCCGCGCAATTGCGGCATCAACTAAACTATGACTCGCTTCTCCGTCTATAAAAAATCTCCACTGCTACTCCCTGTGTTTTCCCGTGAATCAGTATTGGGCAATCCATCGATGTACCCTCCTTATTTATCCGAGCCCCATCGATAGCATGAATCGGTACTGTGACTCGGTGAGGGTCGGTGAGGTCCGGGCGAGAATTCGGTCCTCGTCAGTAGTGGGCGCATTCTCTATTGATTGTTGGCGTTTCCCTACCCGTAAGACTCCCTCCCCTGCTCTGCTCCTCGGCGCCTTAGATCTTCCCGGCACTCGTTCTTACGATGGCGCCGGCCTATTGCAAGCAAAGCAGGGCCCTTTGAACACGCAGTAGATGCGTTCACTGCAATGGCATGTACGGTGGCGTGCTCGGTCGGCCCCCCGAAGACGATGTCCGTAGTAGGACCCCAGTCTCAGATGGCGCAAAATGTTGATTATCCAAGCGAGCTCTAGAATTTCGTGAAAGTTAGAAATTCTGCGAAGAAGAATTTCGTGCGAGATGTCCGGCTTCAGTATGCCGACGCAATGGTCCACCCGCTCTGCCTCGTGCATGTAGCTAACTTGCTCGCACAGTGAGAAATCGACTCGTAGAGTCTTGGACGGACTTGGGTAAGCCGCCAAAATTCGCAGCCTCTGGCGTGCCGAAATCGAAGCCGCAATCGGCTCGAAGCTCGCCCGAAGCCATGCGCACCACACATCTCACGTGCTAAACTGGGCGGTTTCTCGAGAATGAGCTCTAGGTGAACGGCTGGGCCCGTTGGCTCTCCGTCTTGCGATGGTGGCTTGTAGGCGTGTGAAGACGTCACGATGACTCGCCACCAGTCCATGGCGGGACCCTGCAGCAGCGAAAACGGCGTATTGGATCTTCTCTGCGTCCGAACGTGACGTAATTAGTTCAAAAAAGGGCGTTCATCATGAGGTCCAACGATTGAACCGTCGGACCTCCGCGTTGGCTAGGATCGAAGCAGGGCGGGGCGTTGCGGCTTGAGCAACATCGGCGCGCCGATGTCGTTGTTGCAGTTGTTGCCGCAAAATTGACGTGATGGCGAGCTTCACAGGGTGCATTCGTGTTTGGTGAAACCCTGTTTCTCTCCATGCCAAGCATCGATTGGGCAGCGCCATCACTCTGGCTGTGCCTGACGCGCTGTCCCACACTGTCGTGGTTGAGAAAATGAACGAGAATGAATTGACTAAGGGAAAGTTGGGTACAAGTACAAACCCTAGAAAGTTTTACCCCGTATGTGCTACCCCACTATAGCCTACAACAGCTATGTCATATAAATCTGACACACCCCCATAGGCAAAGTGGGGGAGTACAAGGGGTCACAAGACAAGTCAAGCAAAGCAAAGCAAGCTCAGGGTGGATCACGAAGTCACCACACATTACGAGCACAAGTTCAAGACCACAAGGCCAGTTCACATGCAGGATTACATATATATATAAGGCTAGACAAGCAAGAGCAGGTGTATATATATATGTAACAGTACAAACAAGGTCAGTCGGTGAGCAAGTGAGGCAAGGCAGGCACAAAGACCCCAGCCGAGTACAGAAAGCGCTGATGATCACAAGGCGCAAGCGCCTTGGTGAAGATATCAGCAGTGTTGGCCTCAGAGGCCACATACGCAAGGCGCAGCTGACCCACGCTGCTGTAGCTCACGAGCAAGGAAGAAGCGAAGAGCAATGTGCTTCGTTCTGTGCTCCAGTCTCTGCTCCCCGACACAAGGCCAGCATGGCCTTGTTGTCTACGTACAACACTGTAGGAGAACGAGGCGGCTCTCCGAGGTCAGTCAGCAGGTAGGTGAGGCCAGCGAAGCTCCTGTGCAGCCATGGCTCCTGCGTAGATCTCAGCCTCACAAAATGGAGCCGAGAACAGAAGACGAGCGTGTAGACCGCCACGAAACAGAGCCGGAACCAAGGCTGAAGGTGTAACCCTGTGACGACCGCTGCGTAGCCTGGTCGTCAGCCCAAGAAGCGTCTGCGTGCCCAGTGAGGACCACTGGACTCTGCCTCCAAGCACAAGCCCCATGCCGACGTACTGCACAAGTAGCGCAACACCCTCTTCGCTGCAGCCATGTGCTCTGGTCTGTGTCTCCCAGGAGCAACATAACGTGCTAAGATGCTAAGAGGGTATGCAAGGTCAGGTCGTGTGCAGGTCATCAGGTACATGAGGCTACCAACAAGTTCTGGGTACGGGCCACTCGGCTCTACGGACTCATCTGAAGGCAGAGCTAGGAGCGAGTGGCGAGTAGGCAGAGGAGTGGCCTGAGGCGAGGAGTACGTGAAGTCAAAGCGCTGAAGGACCTGCTGCACCATGTGTGACTGAGTCAGGGTAATGGTGCGGCGTGCTCTTTCCTGGGTGATCTGCAGGCCAAGGTAGCTGCGCAGTTCACCCATGTCTGTGCACGTGTGTCTCTTCTGCAGCTCGGACTTCACGTGGGCGAGTCCAGCAGTGTCAGCAGTAGCAAAGACCAAGTCGTCAACGTACACGAGGATGTAGAACGGCGGCAAAGAGGTGTCGGTGCGTAGAAACAGCGACGGGTCGGCAGTCGAAGGAGCAAACCCAAGAGCCGCAAGTGTAGTCCTCATTGTGTCGTGCCACTCACGGGGCGCTTGGCGGAGACCGTAGACTGGCCGCCGGAGGCTCCACTGGGTACCAGGAGGAAACGACCCAGTGAAGCCAGGTGGGCGGCGCAGCCAGATCTCCTCGGGCAGGCTGCCCTGTAGGAAAGTAGTGCTGAAGTCAAGAGAATGAAGCTAGTAGTCGCGCTGAGCGCTATGTGCAGCAACACGTGAAGAGTGGTCGTCTTCGGGGTGGGAGAGAAGGTCTGAAAGTAGTCAACTCCCTGCCGCTGACTGAAGCCATGAGCCACGTAACGCGCCTTGAAGACAGGCGGAGAACCCGGCGGCCGCTTCACCCTGAAAATCCACATGCCACTGACGATGTTCGCCCCAGGCGGGGGAACCTCGTCAACGTAGGTGCCTGTGGACTTCCAGGGAAGCCATCTCTGTGTCCATAGCTGCCTGCCTCTGAGAGGAGTAGGGACCCTCTATCGCCTCTGCGTAAGAGCGCGGGAGTCGGGATGTCAAGTGCATCCGGGTCTCCCTCAGGGGTAAGCAGTACGGACACGAGATGAGGTGGAAGCAGCTGCCAAACACTGGAACTCCTCCTGCCTGTCCTCAAGGACGTCCGTGCCAAGGGCACACTCACCCCCGACGGACGGAGGACAGACAGACTCAGACTCAGCGACAAGACCTAGCAGCGTAGTCTAGACGACAGCGCGCAGCAAAGTCGACGAGCTCAGCAACTAGGGCAGACGCAGCAGTGCACTCAAAGGAAGGGTCAGTGTTTGAGAGTAGCAAGGAGACGCGTGACAGTAGGACTGGCAGCACGAAGAGAGTCCGACTCCGGGTCGGCAAGAGCAGGAAGAGAGGACTCAGGAGGAGAAGGCAAAGGGGCACGTAGAGGAGTAGTGGACGGACACAGAGACATCCGATGCGTGCCAGGGACAGGAGGAGGTCGCTGACGCGAACCACGACCACTAGTGCGAGCAGGACAGATAGGCGACGCAGGGCGAAACGCAGGCTCACGACGCTCAGCAAGACCTCCAGTAGGACCAGTGTAGGGAGAAGGAGGAGGCAGTGGGGAGGCCGCTGTAACTGTAACTATGACGGGACAGGCTGTGGACACTCTAAGGGAGGAGGAGGACCAGTAGAAGGCGGGAGACCAAGAACCTGCTGAAGGGAGCGGAACGAAGTACGGGCCGAGGCCGCGCGGCGACTCCAGAGACAGCAGGGACAGCACCAGTACCCCCAGTGGTAGCACCAGTGCCAGCAGCACCTCCAGCTCCAGCACCCCCAGCAGCTCCAGTAGCTCCAGGACCTCCAGCAGCACCAGTAGCACCCCCAGCAGGACCGCCTCCAGGACCGACAGCGGTAGCCTCAGCGCCAACACCCTCAGCAGCTCCAGCTCCAGTCGTACCCGCAGGCCCAGCAGCTCCAGTACTCCTAGTACGAGCACCTCCGGGACCCGCGACACCAGCACCCTCAGTAGTCGAAGAACCTCAAGCTCCAGCAGCACGCCTCCAGCGCCGGGCAAACCACTCCCACGCAGCTCCTGTGGAGAGAGTGGCTCCCGCCGAGACGAAGCACCCGGAGACCTCCAGGCACAGTACCGCCAGACGCGACACAGCAGGCCCAGCTCCCTCAGGCTCCGCACCCCCAGGCTCAGCACCTCCAGGCGTAGCACCCCCACGCTCAGCACCCCCAGTCGTAGCACACCAAGGCTTAGCACCCCCAGGCGTAGCACCCCCAGGCTCAGCACCTCCAGGCTCAGAACCCCCAGTAGTAGCACCCTCAGGCTCAGCACCCCCAGGCGTAGCACCCCCAGGCTCAGCACCCCCAGGCTCAGAACCCCCAGTAGTAGCACCCTCAGGCTCAGCACCCCCAAGCATAGCACCCACAACGCTCAGCACCCCCAGAGTCAGCACCCCCAGGCTCAGCACCCTCAGCAGCACCAGAGTCACCAGCAACCTCGACAGGCTCGATTGCGTCTACCTGGGACACACCTGAAGGGGCAGGACCCTGAGGGGGGAGGGGGTCTACCGGGGCGGGACCTGGCACAAGGAAGAGCGGAGGCGGGGGGAGGGACGGAGTGCGGTAGGGGAAGAGGCGGTAGTAGGGGACCGACTCGTTAAACGTGACGTCCTGGGAGGACAGAACACGGCAAGAGGTGGGGTGGTAGAACTGCCACCCAGGCGCGTCAGGGGGGAAGCCAAGGAAGACGCAAGGAGTAGCACGAGGGGACATATTTTCCGCAGACAAGTCGCGGACAAACGCCCGAGATCCCCAGACACGGAACGCAGACGCATCGCCAACCTTCCCGGTCCACAGCAAAGCTGGGGAGGTCTCCGGCATGGAGACCCTAGGCTGAAGGTTGATTTGATGCGCCGCGTACCGAACCGCAAACGACCACAGAAAATGGGGGCAGCCACATGCATCATGGACGTACGGGCGACTTCCATGACCATGCCAATGCGGCGCTCAGCAATCCCATTTTGCTGTGGAGAGGCCGGAAGCGTGAAGGTCTGGCGGATGCCTCGTGCACAACAGTAGGCTCGCAGAAGGCCAGAGGAGAACTCTCCGCCTCTGTCAGAGTGCAGACGCAGAACAAGAAAGTCCGAGCCGAAGCTCTGCCTGAGCTGGAGACGAGCTGCGCGGATCTAGTCGATCAACACTCAGTGACATCACCCTTGCTGCGCAAGGGGAGGACTGTGGTGTAACGCGAGAAAGTCATCAACCACCAGCAGGAAGTAGCGCTCGTGACCCTGTCCACGGACGCGGGCTGGGCCCCACACGTCCATGTGAAGCGTCTGCAGCGGGGCCTTTGTCGGAGGAAACTGGGAGGAGTGAGGGGCAGCACGCTGCCGCCCCTCGACGCAGGGGGACGCAGGCAGGGGCAGGCCCCGGGGGAAGGGGAGGGAGGGACCGGGGAAGACTAAGACAAGGACACGGGAGGCCATGCCTCGAGACGAAGTAGGGAGGGGTGACCAAGGCGGTGGTGCCAGAGGAGAGTCTCGTGAGACAGGAAGCGGCACGAGCAGGGGGCAGACTCAGGACCAGACCTGGACGCTGCAGCAAACACCTGACCCGACGCAGCTACCTGACAAGGACGCAGGGACAGGAGGAGACTCAGTGGTCAGTGTGTACAGGCGCGACCCCGGCCGACGTGTAAACGTGGCCAGGTGTCAGCCTGTCCTAGCGTCCGTGCAGTGGGTCACCCGCTGACTCGCAGGAGTGAACTGGTGAACCCCCGCATCCTGTAGTCAGCACCACTCACCAAGTTCGTAGAGAACGAGGGGAGGTAAAGACCAGACAGGGTGCCAGAGGGGGCCGCCGGACACGGGAGGACAGTGGAGAAGTGAGCAAGGACAGGACCCCCAGAGGGGTCTGCCAGAGAGACTGCAACTGGCGACCAAGCGGCGTGAGTGTGGTGCGGTCTCGAAAGAAGGAGCGAGAAGCCCTCGAGTCAAGGGTGGAAAGGTGTGGGAGGCCGAAGCCGACGCGGTACCTGAGAGAGCAGACTCACCAGCACCTGAGGAAGCAGACGCACTGGCACCTAGAGCAACAGCCTCGCTAGCACCTAGAGCAGCAGCCTCACCAGTACCTAGAGCAGTAGTCTCAATGCCCGGGTCAGGCGGAAAACACCGGTAACAGTCACCCTCATTACAAATAGTCACAGTATACATGGCAGCAAGAATAGCATCAAAGTCAAGGTCAAAGATAGCTACTCCCGCCCTAGACAGCTCGCCCCAGCGAGGGGATCTCAGTGGCCTCAGGGAACTGGTGACGCCAAGCGACCGTCAAGCGGCCAAAGCAACGCTGAGGGTGGAGTGCGCACCCCCGCACTGCTCACCCCGCGCGGTCGTAGCTAGTGCGTAGGACTTAGGTGCACGGACCAGTACCCCCCCCCGCTGGCGTGCAGCGTACCACTCACGGAGCTGCTGAGGGGGGGGGATTGTCACGAGTGCGCTACAACATGCTTGCTGCTGGTGCTGATCACCACCGAGCCGACCCTCTGCGCAGCGCCACCCGACCAGCTCCGCCTCCTCCGCCGGCCGCCGTCCTCCTCCGCCGCCACCTCCGCCACCTCCTCCCCCACCGCCACCGCCGCCTCCGCCTCCGCCTCCACTGCCGCCACCAGACACCTCCACCCCCGCCACCACTCCCACCACCACCCCCACCCCCTCCACTGCCGCCACCGCCACCTCCGCCAAGCCACCTCTAGCGCCCTTGCACCCCTTGGCCATTGCCCGGTGCGGCGTCTCCCGCTCAGGGCAGACGCAGCGCCGACCGACTCGAGACCAACGAGGTCGGCCGCAGCAGCAGAGGCAACAGAGGGCAAAAGGGGGGAGGGGGAACACCCCTCAAAGACGGGGGTGCGAGGGTCACCACGAGAGGCTCCTACAAGCGACTATGCTCTTCTATGCCGCTAGGAGGGCCTTCTCGAGGAGGTCAACGGTGAGAGTGGTGGGGCAAACTGAGAGGAAGTGGTCCCTGACTACGCGAGAGAGTCAGGGAGCCGGGTGACTATGTAGTAGAGGGTGATGTACATGGGGGGGGGGGTTCTTGGCGCAGAATTCAGCAGGAAGCGCAGCGCGGTAGCGAGTGTCCACTAGTGCGGAGGTGCGTAATGAGGTCAGTTACTGTGGGAAAGGCAGCAAGGTCATGGAAGAGGTACGGTAGCATGAGGCGGCTCAGTGCAGCAGTGGCAGGGGAGGAGTAGCGTGCAACTACTACAGCGTCGTACAAGGTCTGAGCACTCTTGTACTGGCTAAAGTGCGCACGAGCTCAGAGGTAGGCAGGTGGCGACGCACAGCAAGACGTGCAGCAGCATCGCGTGTGGCCCACTGTGAGCAAACAGTGGCGTCAGCATCAACAGCAGGGGCAGGAGAGGCACCAGAAGTGAGGTCAAAGAGGGAGAGACCGTCTGCCCTATCGCACTGTAGGAAAAGTTGCAGGTCATCTACCCAGACGTCAAAGTCAATGGCCCGACCCTCAGCGTCAAAAGCGAGGACACTAGGGGTAGCCATGACAGCAGTAGACTAGCAGCGCGAACAGTAGGGTAAGGGCAGTGCAGTGATAGAGGCGCTGCTCTTACCGGATAGGGCGGCTCGGGCGGCTAGGCAGCTCGGCGGCTCGGCAGGAAATGCAGCTCGGCGACTCGGCGGCTCTTGCGCCTCAGGCGACTCGGCGGTACGGCGGCTCGGCAGCAACTGCGGCTCGGCGACTCGGCGGCTATGGCGGCTCGGCGGCTCGGCAATACGGCGGCTCGGCAGCTCGGCGACCCGGCGGCTCGAGCGGCTCAGGTGGTGCAGCGGCTCGGGCGGCTCAAGTGGCTCGGGCGGCTCGGCAATAGCTCGGCGGCACCGGCGGCTCGGTGGTGACGGCGGGGCCGCGTGGGGACGGCGGCGGGGCCGGTAAGGCGGCGTCGGGGCCGGGAAGGGTAGCGCTGGGGCCGCAGGGTAGGCGACGGGGCCAGCAGGGTAGGCGACGGGGCCAGCAGAGGCGGCGCCGGGGCCGGGAAGGGCGGCGCCGGGGCCGGAGGGGTAGGCAACGGGGCCGCTAGGGCGGCTAGGAGGGGGGTCGCCAGGGCGGCTTGGAGAGGCCGCGAGGGCGGCACGAAAGGGCCGCGAGGGCAGCGCGAACGGGCCGCGAGAGCGGCGCGACGCGACGGAGCCGCGAGGGCGGCGGATCGGGGCCGCGAGGGCGGCGCGACGCGGCCGCTAGGGCGGGTGAGGCCAAGTAGGCACAAGACCTAGCATCGTACAAAAGCGCTGATGATCACAAGGCTGAAGTGCCTTGGTAAAGATATCAGCAGTGTTGGCCCGAGAGGCCACGTAAAGCAAGGCGCAACTGACCACGGCTGCTGCAGCTCACGAGCAAGGAAGTAGCGAAGAGCAATGTGCTTCGTTCTTCGCTCCAGTCTGTGCTCCCGACACAATGCCAGCATGGCCTTGTTGTCTACGTACAGAACTGGAGGAGAACGAGGCGGCTCTCCTAGGTCTGTAAGCAGATAGGTGAGCTAGCGTAACTCTTGTGCAGCCATGTTCCCTGCGTAGATCTTACCCTCACAGCTGGAGCCGAGAACAGAAGACGAGCGGGTAGACCGCCACGAAACAGAGCCGGAACCAAGGCTGAAGGTGTAACCCCATGACGACCGCTGCGTAGCCTGGTCGTCAGCCCAAGAAGCGTCTGCGTGACCAGTGAGGACCACTGGACTCAGCCACGTAACGCGCCTTGAAGACAGGCGGAGAACCCGGTGGCCGCTTCACCCTGAAAATCCACATGCCACTGACGATGTTCGCCCCAGGTGGGGGAACCTCGTCGATGTAGGTGCCTGTGGACTTCCAGGAAGCCATCTCTACGTCCATGGCTGACTGCCACTGAGAGGAGTAGGGACCCTCTATCGCCTCTGCGTAAGAGCCGCGGAGTCGGGATGTCTGGTGCATCCGGGTCTCCCTTAGGGGCAATCAGCATGGACACGAGATAAGGCAAAGCAGCAGCAAAACACTGGAACTCCTCCTGCCTGTCCTCAAGGACGTCCGTGCTAAGAGCACACTCACCCCCGACGGACGGAGGACAGACAAACTCAGACTTTGCATCAAGACTAGCAGCGTAGTCTAGACGACAATGAGCTGCGAAGTCGACAAGCTCAGCAACTAAGGCAGACGCAGCAGTGGACTCAAAGGATGGGTCAGTGACAACAGTAGCCAGGAGACACGTGACAGTAGGACTAGCAGCACGAAGGGAGTCAGACTCGGGGTCAGCAAGAGCAGGAAGAGAGGACTCTGGAGGAGACGGCAAAGGGACATGTAGTGGAGCAGTGGAAGGACGCAGTGCCATCAGGTGCGTGCACGGGACCCCAGGAGGACGCTGACGCGGAACACGACGACTAGTGCGAGCAGCACGAACAGGCGACGCAGGATGCGACGCAGGCGCACGACGCTCAGCAAGACCTCCAGTAGGACCAGTGTAGGGAGAAGGAGCAGGCAGCGGGGAGGCGGGCTGTAACTGTGACTCGGACTGGACAGGCGGTGGACACTCTAAGGGAGGAGCAGGACCAGTAGAGGGCGGAAGACCAAGAACCAGCTCAAGGAGCGGAACGAAGTACGGCCGTGGCCGCGCAGCACCTCCAGAACCAGCAGGTACAGCACCAGCACCAGTAGCACCCCCAGCTCCAGCAGCGCCAACACCAGCACCCTCAGAAGCACCAGCGCCACCAGCACCTCTAGCCCCAACACCCCCAGCAGCTCCAGCTCCAGCAGGACCACCGGAAGACTCAACTGCTCCAGCTCCAGCAGCTCCAGCAACACCTACTCTAGCAGCACCGCCAACTCCAGCACCAGGAGCATCCCCAGGCCCAGCAGCTCCAGTACCTCCAGTACGAGCACCTCCGGGACCCGCGACACCAGCACCCTCAGCAGCAGTAGAAACTCCAGCTCCAGCAGCATGGCTCCAGCGCCGAGCAAACCACTCGTGCAGCTCCTGTGGAGAGGGTAGCTCCCGCCGGGACGAAGCACCCAAAGGACGTCCAGGCCCAGTACCGCCAGACTCCACACGAGCAGGCCCAGCACCCTCAGGCTCCACACCCCCAGTCGCACCACCCCTAGGCTTAGCAACCCTAGACTCAGCACCCCAAGGCTCAGCACCCCCAGGCCTAGCACCCCTATGTGAAAAGTTTCTAGCAAGGCTTAGGAGCCATAGTTTAGTTAGGTTCTTAGAGATCGAGTTTAGAGTTGAGGAGAGTGTCGAGAAAGTTGGAAAAGGAGAAAGAGTCGAGAGAATTGAGGGTTTCACTATAGGTTCAAGGGTACAAATATGAGAGAACAAGCAAGAAAGGTGCACCACCAAATAGGAAAATGCTATAACTACAGTAACCAATCCTACAGGCAGTTACATATAGAAAATATTAAATTATATTTTCCGACACCACCAGACCCTGCACCCGCAGGCTCAGCACCCCTAGCAGCACCAGAGTCAACAGCTACCTCGACAGGCTCGACTACGTCCACCTGAGACACACCTCAGGGGGCAGGAACCTGAGGGGGAAGGGGGTCTACCGGGTGGGGACCTGGCGCGAGGAAGAGCGGCGGCGGGGGGAGGGGTGCAGTGCGGTAGGGGAAGAGACAGTAGTAAGGAACCGACTCGTCAAACGTGACGTCCTGGGAGGACAGAACACGGCGCGAGGTGGGGTGGTAAAAGTGCCAACCAGGCGCGTCAGGGGGGAAGCCAAGGAAGACCCAGGGAACAGCACGGGGGGACAGCTTGTCCGCAGACAGGTCGCGGACAAAAGCTCTAGATCCCCAGACATGGAACGCAGACGCATCGCCAGCCTTCCCCGTCCACCGCAGAGTAGGGGAGGTCTACGGCAAGGAGACCCGTTGCTGAAGGTTGATCTGATGCGCCGCGTACTGAACCGCGAACGGCCACAGAAAATGGGGAGCAGCCGCATGGATCATGGACGTACGAGCGACGTCCATGACCATGCCAATGCGGCGCTCAGCAATCCCATTTTGCTGTGGAGAGGCCGGAAGCGTGAACGTCTGGCGGATGCCCCGTGCACGACAGAAGGCTCGTAGAAGGTCAGAGGGAAAACTCTCCGCCTCTGTCGGAGTGCAGACGCAGAACAGGAAAGTCCGAGCCAAAACTCTCTCTGAGCTGGAGACGAGCTGCCCGGATCCAGTCGATCAACACCTCAGTGACCTCCCCCTTGCTGCGCAAGGGGAAGACTGTGGTGTAACGCGAGTAGTCGTCAACTACCAACAGGAAGTAACGCTCGTGACCCTGTCCACGGACGCGGGCGGGGCCCCACACGTCCAGGTGAAGCGTCTGCAGCGGAGCCTCTGTCGGAGCAAACTCGGAGGAGTGAGGAGCGGCGCGCTGCCGCCCCTCGACGCAGGGAACGCAGGTAGGGGCAGGCCCCGGAGGAAGAGGAGGGAGGGACCGGGGGAGACCAGAGACAAGGACACGGGAGGCCATGCCTCGGAGATGAGGCAGGGAGGGGTGACCAAGGCGGTGGTGCTAGAGGAGAGTCTGGTGAGACAGAAGACGACACGAGCAGGGGGCAGACTCAGGATCAGACCTGGACGCAGCAGCAAACACCTGACCTGACGCAGCTACCTGACCAGATGCAGCAACCGGAGGAGACTCCGTAGTCATTGTGTACAGGCTCGACCCTGGCTGATGGGTTAAACGTGGCCAAGTGTCGGCCCGTCAGAGCACACGTGCAGTGGGTCACTCGCTGACTCGCAGGAGTGAACTGGTCAACCCCCCCATCCTGTAGATCAGAACCACTCACCAAGTTCGTAGAGAATGAGGGGAGGTAAAGACCTTACAGGGTGGCAGAAGGGGCCGCCGGACACGGTAAGACAGTGGAGAAGTGGGCAAGGACAGGACCCCCAGAAGGGTCTGCCAGTGAGACTGCAACCGGCCGACTAAGTGGCGTGAGTGTGGTGCGGTCCTCGAAAGAAGGAGTGGGAAGCACCCGAGTCAAGGGTGAAGGTGTGCAAAACCTGAGCCGACGTGGTACCTGAGAGAGCAGACTCACCAGCACCTGGGGGAGCAGACTCACCAGCACCTGGAGCAGCAGACGCACTAGCACCTAGAGCAGCAGCCTCACCAGCACCTAGAGCAGCAGCCTCAATGCCCGGGTCAGGCGGAACACACAGGTTACACTCATCGTCATCACTAGTAGACACAACATACATGGCAGCAAGAGTAGCATCATAATCAAGATCAAAGATAGCAACCCCCGACCTAAGCAGCTCGCCCCAGCGAGGGATCTCAGTGGCGTCAGGGAACTGGAGACGACAGGCATCTGTCAGGCGGCCGAAGCAGCGCTGGGTGGTGTGCGGGCCACCGCACGGCTCACCAGTGCGGTCGCCGGTACGCAGGACGTAGGCACAGGGACCAGCACCCCCACCCCGCTGACGCGCAGCGTACCACTCACGAAGCTGCTGGGGGGGCGGGGTCTCACGAGTGCGCTGCTGCTGCTGGCGCTGACCACCACCGAAGCTGCCCCGCTGCACAGAGCCACCCCGACCAGCTCCACCGCCGCCGCCGCCACCGCCACCACTGCCGCCTCCCCCGCTCCCACCGCCACTGCCGCCGCCGCGGCCGCCGCCTACTCCTCCACCGCCGCCACCGAAGCCCCCACCCCCGCCACCACCCCCACCGCCACCTCCACCCCCTCCGCCGCCTCCAGCGCCCCCGCCAGCTCCTCCAGCGTCCTTACCCCCCTTGCCCTTGCTGTTGCGGCGTCTCCCGCTAGGGGAGACGCAGCGCCGACCGACTCGGAGCCAACGAAGTCGACCGCAGCAGCAGAAGCAACAGAGGGCAAAAGGAGGGAGGGGGGCAACCCCTCAAAGAAGGGGGCACGAGGGTCACCACGAGAGGCTCCTACAGCAAACTATACTCGTCTTAGCTGCCAGGAGGCACTCCTCGAGGAGGTCAACGGTGAGTGTGGTGGGGCAAATAGAGAGGAAGTGGTCCCTGACCGAGCGAAGGGAGTCGGGGAGCCGGGTGACTAGGTAGTAGTAGGGTGATGTACATGGGTGGGGGGTTCTTGGCGCAGAACTCAGCAGGAAGCGCAGCGCGGGTAGCGGGTGTCACTAGTGCGAAGGTGCGTAATGAGGTCAGCGACTGTGGGAAAGGTAGCGAGGGTCAGGGAACAAGTACTGCAGCATGAGGCGACTAAGGGCAGCAGTGGCAGGGGAAGAGTAGCGTGCAACTACAGCGTCGTACAAGGTCTTAGCACTCTTGTACTGACTAAAGTGCGCGCGCTCAGTGGACGGCAGGTGACTACGCACAGCAAGACGGGCAGCAGCATCGCGTGTGGCCCACTGTGAGTGAACAGTACTGTCAGTATCGGCAGCAGGCGCAATAGAGGCACCAGACGTGAGATCGAACAGTGAGAGACCATCTTTTCTATCGCACTGCAGGAAAAGCTGCAGATTATCAACCCAGACCTCAAAGTCGACTGCGTGACCCTCAACATCAAAGGTGAGAACATTTGGGGTAGCCATGACAGCAGCAGCAGCAGCAGCAGCAGCAGCAGGCTAGCAGCAGCACCAGCAGGAGGGGCGCGGCTCGGCGGTGCTCTTACCAGAGGCGGGTGGGTAGAGGTCCGTAATGGTGGGGGCGAGGCTAAGGTGCGCCGGCAGGAACAGGGCCGCGCCTCGGCTGCAGGGTAGGGCCGGGACGGCGGCGGCGGCAGTCTCAGCAGGAGCGGCGGCGGCTGTCACGGTAGCAGCGGCAGCGGCGACCGGCCGTAGAGGAGAGCAGCAGCGGCAGCAGGCGCGACGGCAGCTGCTGCTGGGGGCGGCGACGACGTGGCGGTAGGGCCGTGAAGAGCCGGGGAGTGGCCGCTAAGGGGCAGCGACGAGCCGCGAAGGAGCCGCAGAGGGGCCGTGAAGGAGCCGCGAAGGGCCGTGAAGGGCTGCGGAGGGGCCGCAAAGGGGCCGCGAAGGGCGGCGATGGGGCCGCGGAGGGGCCGCGAAGGGGCTGCGAAGGGCGGCGAAGGGGCCGAGAAGGGGCCACGAGGGGCCGCGAAGAGGCCGCGAAGGGCGGCGTGAGGGGCCGCGAGGGGCCACGAAGGCCTGCAAAGGGGCCGCGAAGGAGCCGCGAAGGGGCCGCGAAGGGCCGTGAGAGGGGCCGCGAAGGGGCCTTAAGAGGGCGCGACGGGCCGCTAAGGGCAGGGGACGCGACGGAAGGGCAAGCGCACGGGGCGCGACTAGGGCAGGCGCGAAGCGCGCTCCGGGCAGTTAAGGAAAAAAAAAATCGTTTTAGTGGTGGGCCCTAGGAAACGTTCCCATTAGGGAACCTGCTCTGATACCATGTGAAATAACGAGGAATGGGTCTTATAAAAAGAAGAGTGCACATGTGTAAGGAAATTTTTTACATTCCTTACCTCATGCTTCAACACTGCGTACAAGACCAACCGTTTGTTTGCCCGTACTGCTAACGGGAATTCGCCAGCCTTCGCGTGCTGAATTTGCCAAACCATGCATCGCTGGCCTAACTGAGTCAGCCTACGCTTCGGAACTAGCCCGAACCTCGATGCCAGCATTGCACTAGCTAGCTCGCACAAACCGCGCTACCGTTCACTTTTGCTTATAATTATTCGCTCATGCCTTCGCTTATACTTTGTACTTATTTTATACTTCTGTGCAATCCTCGCTACCTCATTCCATTGCACCCGTAACACTTGGTATCATAGCCACTTTCCTTTTTGGCCCGTACAATTCCGCAACCAGTAGAGACCAACATTTGATTTTCTACTCGAAAGGACTCACACCCCTTAGCATACTAGGAGCCACTGTCCTCGCTCTCTCTCGTAAGCACGTGCAACCACGACAGCGCCTAGCACCTAGACTGACCGCCACCCTTCAATACGGCTGAATATGTCGACCTTGCGAGCCTCACGCAGTAGCGCGTGAATGCAGTGCTGCAACAAATGCACAAACGCTCTGAAGAAATTGCCGCACTAATGGCAAAACACACGTCACTGCTGAATGACATCGCATGGGTGCAACAAGCACAATAAAAAACGTAAGGTACAGTAGCAAAAGGACAACCATTCGACGCCCAACACGAAAGGGTGGGAAAAAATTGGAGCACGGCTAGTGATGGCGTCACATGCAATGACGTTCGCGATAACCATGGAACAACACACCCCGGAGCAACGAATGCGACTTGGAGTCAATGTCGCGCCAACATTGCGACACTGATTGATGAGTCGGCACTGCCTTCACCGATGCTGCTCAAGCCGCAGCGTCCACCTTGCTTCGATCCGAGTCAACGGGGTGGTCACCCTGTCCGCGCGCGGCCCCCTCAGGTCCCCTCGACAGGCGACGGGAGGGGCGACCTTGGGGGGGGGGGGGGGGGGGTTGGGGGGGGGGCAAGCGTCGCCCCTTCTGCCGCCTGTTTTGGCGCCCTGGGAGGCCGCGCGTCGCCCCCCCTCCCCCGTAACCTCCCTACCCGCCATCCCGCCCTGCCCTGTGTTAGGGTTTGGGGGTGGCGAGTAGGGGGTGGCGGGTGTGTGGTCTCCCCTGCTCCTCCTCCTCCTCTGTCTCCCACTGCTGCAGCTGCCGCTGAGGGGGGTGGGTGTGTGGGAGTCGACGGAGTGGTGCTAGGGGGTGGGGTGTGAGTGAACCTAGGGTGCAGCAGGGGGTGTGTGAAAGGGGGGTGGGATAGTTTGGGGAGGTTGAAGGGGGGTGGCCGCCGTGAAGCCTGCAGCTCCAGTCGCCCGTGAGACCGTTGCGCCAGTCGCCCGTGAGCCCGTTGCGCCAGTCGCCCGTGAGCCAGTTGCTCCAGTCGCCCGTGAGTCCCGTTGCTCCTGCCGCTCAGAGTTAGCCGCGGAGCCAGTTACTCCAGTAGCCCGTGTGCCAGTTGCTCCAGTTGCCAGTGTGCCAGTTGCTCCAGTTGCCCGTGTGCCAGTTGCTCCAGTTGCGCCGTGTGCCAGCAGCTTCAGTGATAGCCTCTAGCTTTGCTTACATTTGGGAACTTTAAACTGTTGCTTCTTGTACTTGTGCTCAGATTGTGTGGTGACATTGTGATCCACACTGAGCTTGTGTTTTGCTTGCTTGTTGTGCTGATTACACCCCACTTTGGCTATGGGGGTGTGTCAGAATGTTATGTTTGTCTAGCCTGCAGTGGGGTACTCAATAGTGAGTACAGCCCAATTTAGGGTTTGCTATATGTACTCAACTGCCTGCTAGTGAACCTCCTTCCACTTCCATTCCTCGTTCTTTCACAGACGCAACTACCCGATGCACGACCGCGAGATGCTGGCGATCGTGCACACGTTCAAAGTGTGGCGATGCTACCTCACTAGAGCCGACGTGACCAATAGGGACTGATCACTGCTCACTACAATACCTCACTAAAGTACCTATGCGCCCAACCAAATCTCAACCTGCGACAGATACGGTGGTTGGACTGTTCGGAGTCCAAATACCACTACACGTCACGTACAAAAAGGGAGCATCATGCGGAGAGTCACTCTACAATAGTTGTGAGCTAGACTACGCGGGGGGGGGGGGGGGGGGGGGGGGGGGGGGGGTTGGCACGAACTTTAGGAGCGATCATAGGCTTGCTTAGTTCCTTAGCAGTTGCACATTCATGGAAAAAAATCGGCAAGAATTTCGACTAGCAAAGCTGGTATTACATAATGATTGATACAACAAAGGCAAGGATGACTACATTAGGCACTTAGCAACTCTGCAGCTAGCCTGGTCGACCGCCAGCACAGCATGGTTGACCGCGTGCCAACGTTGCATAGAGGAGCCGTGCCAGCACTGCAAAAACATGACTTGCCAACACAACAGGTCGACGGGCGTGCCAACGCTGCAGCAGAGCGGCTGTCCAGCGTTGCACCCATAGAAGACAGCAGTGCGCACGTATGCATGTGCGCGTAGACGATTGGCCCGACTTGCATCGTTGTGCATCCGTCGGCTGTTGTCTGCGCCTGACGGGCCACATCGACTTCGGGATACCAGCCCGAGGTTGCCTTCGCCACCGTGACCTCGACGACGTTTGCGTGTCTCCGCACAACTCACCGAGCAGGTTACCTGGTCGACCACCTAGTGTGCGCCCTTGTCGGCGACCTCCCTCGTCGACCAGCACATCTGTAAAAGACCACCTTGGTCGACGGACCCCTCCGTCGACCAGCACTGTCAGCTGCTGTCGCCAAGCTCCCCTCGTCGACTGCCATTTGCATGTCCTACGCAGGACGACGAACTCGACCTCCCCGTCAAACTACACTGGTCAATAGTCCCGTCGATCAGCACGATCAGCTGCACTCGTCGAGCTCCAGTCCTCGACAGCTGCTCATCGGTCACCCGCAGCCCATCGAACTGCCCCGACAGCCCATCCATCAACCCGCCTAGCCAGCTGCAACCGTCGAGCTCCCCTGGTTGACGACTCCAGCCCTGCGACAGTCCTGTGCAGGTCGACGACCACCACGTCAACCTACCTCGCAGAAGAAGGCCATCGAGCTCTCCTAGTCGACGGCAACAACGCAGCGATCCCCTGCAGCTCGACGAAGCCCGCCGGGCAGCTCCCTCATTACGTACAATCAACTACTTCTCCTGTACATCCGACCAGGACGTCGGCGCCGCCCAAGCAAGGGCGGGGCCAACACTCTATTTCCGTTAACACATCAAACATCGTTGATGTCGTCACTTGCCCCACTACCCAACTTCACGCCATCCTACTCGCCCAAACAATACCACGGTTAATAGGCCTATTCACCCACGGATATTGCACGATCTATTTTTCACCACTAGGGATTCATAGCAGCTGACAGAAACAAAAGGAGCGTATTATATAAAAATAGGCACCAACCGCATCTGCTTACCAACAGATTCACTACTAGGGGAGCTGCTACTGCAGGAGGCATACGACGGGGCTACCTCATATCATTTTGGGTTAGAAAAAATGCGACAGCAACTGCAGCAGTACTAATACTGGTCGGAACTGCTGACCAGCGTACAGCACTACGTGGGATCGTGCCCCACGTGTCAGGTGATGAAAAGCTCTCATAAGGAAAAAAGCGGATCAGTTGCAGCCGATTCCACCGCCCGAGCGCGCCTGGTAGCAGGTTACCATGGAGTTACCTTCGAGCCGTGGTGGTAACGACACAGTCATGGTTGTCATTGACCGACTAACGAAAATGACCCACTTTTGCTGCGTGCAAGAAATCGATCTCAGCTAAAGAGATCGCTCGCCTGTTCATCGCGACCGTCGTTCGACTGCACGGGATACCAGCCGTGACTACCAGCGACTGCGACACAAAGTTTACTAGTAATTTGTGGACGTACCTTTGGGAGCAGTTCGGGCCCGGCTACAGTCGATTTGCCGTACCACCCCAAGACCGACGATCAGACGGAGCGCACGAACCAAACCACGGAGCAGCTGATTTGTACCACGAGCGACTCCTCGACAACTCGAGAGTAGCGGTTGCCGCTGATCGAGCTTACCTACAACAACGCCACGTCAGCAACGATGCGGCAGTCAACATTCTACCTGAACCACGGGCAAAACCCAACAGTGCCTATGACGCCGAGCTCGGACAACCCAACGCCACATGCACAAAAGTTTCCCAAGATTTTGCAAGCTGACCGGACGCGCGCAGCAGACGCAATGTCATTGCTTAAAGGAACGTCGACTGCCACTGCCGCTCAGTGACGTACCAGTCAGGAGATTACGTACTACTCAACACGCAAAACTTACGCCTGCCCGTCGTACCGAAAATTCGCCCGCGCTACTGTGGACCATTCCAAATCAGCCACATGATCACCCTAGTTCCGCCCATACATCGCCACCATGAGCCAACTGCCATGCCATCACCCACCATCGATGATATGTCCTGCATCGAAAACAAAAGTCAACCCCGAAAGGTTCCGAGCCATCGGATTCGCCACCCCACGGGAATTCGGAGGATTGAGTTTCTCGTTTGTTGTAAGGACCGCACCCCCACGGTGGACAGCTAGGTACCCATGGCCAACATTGAGAACCACCCTGCTCGGCAAGTGTACCTGCAAAGCCAGGGTTTTCGTGATATACACGCACTCGCGTAGCGGGGGGGCTTCTTGAGGGCGGGGGGGGGGGGGGGGGGGGGGGGGGGGGGGTAGTATAAGGATTTTTTAGACATTCCTTACCGCGTGCTTCAACACCGCATACAGTACCAACTATCTGTTTGCCCGTTACTGCTAACGGGGCTTTGCCAGCGTTCGCGCGCTGAATTTGCCAAACCATGCATCGCTGGCCTGGCCGAGTCGGGCTAAGCTTCGGGACGAGCCCGATGTCAGCATCGCCTTAGCTAGCTCGCACGCGCTGCGTTACCGTTCACATTTTCTAGCTCATACTTTGTACACGTTTGACACTTTAGTGCGATCCTTGCTACCTCATTCCATTGCACCTGTAGCTACAGGATTCAATAACGCGGAAGTGATTGCAGCTAGTGAGTGAATATTGAAGCCTAGCACAGCTATAGTGAAGGCTAGCTAGGCCAAGGTTGTGGGACCGCGGATGGCTGGGTGCAGGTACGGGGTTGGGAAACCCGAAGGCGACGCGAGGGACGTTCACAGGGCGAGGTCATCACACCGAGCCTAGAACTCTGAAAGTTAGAGTTGTACGCGCATGGAGTGCCTTAGTAAGGAATTAGGAAAATTCATTACACTAACCCCCCCTTTAAGAAAGGTGGTTAGTATCAGACACACGGCGGCGGGAAAGGTAGTCCTGTAGTATCGAGTGGCCTTGTAGCGAGTCAGGCGTGACGCATGTATCATCTTCACTTGCGCAACCAACCCATCGCAGTATAAAATCAACGTGGAAACCAAAAATCCACAAATCCTAATGACATAGCAGGCTATTATGGAACACATCGTGGATATTCCAGTCATCCGGTAGCAGCAGCTTCCCTATGACAGGTGTTAGCATCTTGATGATGCAATAGTTTCCCACGTAGCGAGGACGAAGTTTCATCAGCTGGGGCGGTCGAAGATTCTTTGTGTCCTGGAGCGGAAAGGTAGATTCCCTTCGATGTTTATCACCATTGCGGCAGGTGACATTACTTGCCTTCCGGATAGATTCTGCTACTTTGTTCCATGACGAACTGTTGGGATCGTGGTAACGGGTTGTTGGGGGTAGCTGCTTATCCTGTAATTTAGATAGAACAGGGATTGGTTAGTTCTCGTGGAGGGTGCGCTGTTATATGAAACTCCAGCATTGGGAGAGCAAGTCGTGCGGCATGATGTAAAATGTGCCATTGTCGTTAATCACTCAACCACGAGCGGGACCGACTTGTTGCCACTTGCGCCAGCGGGCAGCCCGGTGACGAAATTCATCATCACTTGTTGTCACGGTCGTTCGGGTGGCTCGAAGGGTTGCAGCAATCCAGCTGGCTATTGTCGCAACGACTTCATGGCTTAGTAGGTCAGGCAGGTTGTCACGTAGCACTGCACGTCCGATAGCATGTCCGGCCAATAGTAATTCCGCTGCAGCAGCTTGAGTGTTTTATCGATGCCGAAATGCCCTGAGAGGTAGAGTAATTCTCCTGCGTCGCAACGACTTCATGGCTTAGTAGGTCAGGCAGGTTGAGTGTTTTATCGATGCCGAAATGCCCGGTACGACGAAACCCAAATTTAGTTCATACCGGCTTTTAAGTAATAATTCACGTGTTGCGTGGCTAAGTGGTGTTGGTTTCGCTTAAAAAGCGACCAGCTCTGTACCCGTGGGCAAATAGTCCTGATAAAAGCGGCTGGATTGGGCGATGAGTACAATTGCGAACTGCATTGATGGTCATGTCAGGGTGTTGGTGATGTTTTTGGAGCCCTTCTTGTACGTGATGGTGTAGCGAAAGTTGGATGTCAGATAATCCAACCACCTGATTTGTCGCCGGTTGAGTTGCGGTTGGGCTCGCATTTACTGTAGCGATTTATGTGGCAATGCCCGAGGCAATTGGACTGTAAGGTCTAGCAGCTGATGGGATTTTATGGCACCTCAAAGATCGGGCGTGCTTGGTTGCAAGCTGCTCGCAAGCTGATTCCCCAGTCATCAATGCCTGAGGCAAGGGGAGTGTAAGGTCTAGCAGCAGAGGGGATTTCCTGGCACCTCGAAGATCAGGCTTGCTTGGTTGCAAGGTGCTCGCAAGCTAATTCCTCAGTGATCAATGCCAGAGGCAAGGGGACTGTAAGGTCCGGAAGAACCTGGTGGAGACGTGAGTGCTGTTTTGCACTCATATGTATCCTCTCAACCACCGCTAAACATCTAATTCTCTTTGGTTCAATCCGTTTCATCTTGTGAGAGGCCTTTGTTGAGATGCTATGCTGGCCTTGGTTGAGACGGTATGTTGGCCCCTATTTTGCAGCCATTGCCTTTCTGAGCTTTGGCTGACTCGAGATGAGATGGTGTGGTGGGTGAAAATGATGATGGCAGTGTTTTGCGGAATGGCACCATCAGCGGCAGCAACAACAGCAGCCGCAGCAGTGGCGGTGGCGGCAGCAGCAGCAGCAGCAGCAGCAGCGACAGCAGCGGCGACGGCAACACCACCAGCAGCACCATCAGCACCACCAGCAGCATCAGCAGCAGGCGAAGAGGCAGCAGAGGGCTGGACCTCACTGAAAATAGAAGAACGCTTCTACAGTCTCAGCAGCAGGAAAGCACAGCGGTTGGCAGAAGCTGCCTACGCCGTGTTCTTGCCACTTTTAAGACATTTGAAGTCATGTTGGAGCTTCTTTAAGACATTTGAACTCTTGTTGATGATTTTGCAGAACACTACTCTTTTACAGGTTGCAGTAAAAACAGTGGGTGTGGCTACAGCAGCAGGAGTGAGGTGACAGGGATCAGGGATGCGGTTTGATCAGGAGTGTGGTTACAAGAGCAGGAGTGAGGTTACAGCAGCATGCGTCGAACATGCACGCTCGTGAGCGTGCGCCCCCGTAAGTGTGTGTGCGTGGATGCATGCGCGTTCGTACCCACATACTCGCCAAGAGCATCCATTTTATGAGGGATAAGAACAGCATCGCTTCTATACACCACCACCCCCCCGCTCGGACTATCAAACAACACGTCTCCACTCTCCACCAACGCGGCTGCATACGGGGTTCCATCATTGACCACATGGCCATAGCGGTTGATGACCGTGCTTCTCGGAAACAGCAAGTCGGCCTGCTGCTGGGGCGATGATCCCGAGATGTTCCACATGCCGCCATACTTCGGACTGTATGAGATCCAGAGCGGTTGTCCATGCATCGTCGGAAGCTCCCAATGCCCGTCGATAGATGAGTACTGCCAATAAGGAAAGAGGATCAGAAGAGGAAGCATCACAAGCAAGATGACTTTTTAGTCTACTCAAACATCCAGAGCGGCTGTCCATGCATTGTTGAAAGCTCCCAATGCCTGTCCATAGATGCGTACTGCCATGCTTAATTAGTGTCACATGGGGACGGATCACAGGCGGTTGCATAATGAGTAATCTTGAAAAGAACGGCGCATGACTTGCCAAATAATCGGATGGAATCTCGTGATGAAGACGCTGCGGTAGAATGCACAACTTTGCAATGCCCTTCTTACGTTTTCTCAAGCTATTTACCGTGGCGGAGATTTGCCAAAGGATCCACAACACTTTATTCAACATGATTAATTGGCCCTCCATTTTTTTAATTTACCCAAATATTTTTTTTTGAGAAGGATTGATTTGAATATGGTGACAGATTGAAAGACTCACCATGAATTCTGTGGCGAGGGAGGCGGTATCTACTCCTCTCACCCTCTGAAACTTCCAGAAGTTTGAACATGTTCACTGCGGCCCACTGCGGTCCATTGCG